TTTACTTTTTGCCTAGATGTCTTTTGACATCATTTCACTCTCAAACTCTTAGCTCTTTGGTCCTTTGCATTTAAATGTGTCTTTGGGGCTAGGATAACTCGTTCATGGCAGGAGCCTGGGTTCATCCCAGTCCTACACATTAAATCAGCACATTTAGATCTTTCATACACATCATAGATACGAACTGTGATTATTATACCATTTTTCTGATTTTGTCTTCAGTGGAATAATTTAGTCCACTTATATAAAATAAAATCATTTCTGGTAAAAAAGAACTTGCTTCTATCTGGTTTCCTTTTATAATTTCTATCTCTCCTGATATCCTGTTCATTATTCTCCATGTTTTCTTTAGCTTTTTGAGTGTATTTAAGACCGTTAATGTGTTTACCTAGTAAGTCCAATATCTGTGCTCTCTCAGGAACAGTTAATTTCCTCTGTAAATTTGCTATGCATTTTCTTGTTTCTTTGAATTACATTTGTGTGTGTGTGTGTGTGTGTGTGTGTGTGTGTGCGAGCTGCGTGTGTATGTAATACTGTACATTCTGCAAATTTTGAACTTAATGTGATAACACTGGAAATAATATTTATTACCTTCCTATGGGTTTGTTTGATTGATGATTGATTGATTGATTTTTCCTTGTTGCAAGCTTAAATTCTTTATCTAGTGACTCTTAGAACTATGCATTTTTCTATATTCTTTGTCATTTGTGATCTCTGAAGTCTCTATTTAGTGCTTAGATTTCCTCCAATGACAAGAGTTGGAGGAAGATAGAAAAGACAGAGAAGTTAAGGGAGAGGAAAAACTCCCACAGTTTGCAGGCGTCTGTCTTGGGGACTCACTAAGCCCTTGGCTGCTGTTTGAACTCTCAGTCTTCACTTACAAAGAACACTAATTCTCAAAAGAAGCCAGGGTGAAAACCTCGGGTCTTTGTAGGTTTTCTTCTGAGTGTGTATTTCTTTCCTGGGCATCACCTTAATTCCAAACCTCCTGAGCACATGCAGGTGGTACCTGATGCTTTTATTTTCCAAGGAGTTTCTGTCCCCAGAATTTCCTCTGAGTTTCAGGTCATCTGCATTCACCTTTCTATATTTTTACTGGTATTCTTTGGTGTGTAAATTTCTAATTAGATGAAACAAAGGCAATGCCTTGCCTCCATTCTCCAGGGAAGGAGACTTGGACACACGCAATTCATTGGGAATAAAACCTGTTTCTCTTCACTGTGTGAGGGACCAGGAAAGGCAGGGTGTGTCTTCCACAGCACCCCACACCAGGGATGGGTAGAGTCAGGAGCAAGCAAAGGTGTCAGGATTTTCTACCATTTTTAGATTTTCTTTTTCTTGATTTAGTATTCGCTTGATTTTTATAAACCTTTGATTGATTTTCAGAGTACAGACAAAGTTGATCCTGACATTTTTTCTCAGTTGTTTGGTGTTTCTGTGAAGGGATGAGCCTTTGAAGATACCTACTCTGATATTTCCACTGATGTCACTGGCTTATATGACTTTTAAGTCCAGAGGTGAGGTTCTGAGCCAATATTCTCCACATAGCAAGATGACCCAGGGCCCTGCATTATTTGAGCAAAATGATTCACTGGATTTCAATTCTGTTCTGAGACCTCAAAGAAGTGAATGTCATATCATTTAAAAGACTCTTTGCCAAAGCGGTTGATTATACTATACACAAGATTTAAAGGACAACACAGAGAAACCCAGCTAACAGAGACTTTGTGAAGACAGCATGACTCCTGCAAAGCAGTTGTCACTCATAATCACAACCAGAGAATGCAATATCCTGATGATTAGTGAATTCTTTCATAACTACAAAGCTGTGTTCAAGGCGTGCTGAGGACCAGCAGAGTCCAAAGAGAGCAACTGGGTGATATTGTCACATAAACACACGGATTCAGGATAAAAGAATTAGTGTCCCACCTCGACTTTGCTTTTCTCCTAGTTGTAGAGGGATTACTTGGTATTTCATATAGGTAAATTATACAGCTTATTCTTCAAAAACTAGCTGAGTTGCTAGTTTTAGCAGTATAAGCTGAGCTTCAGAGAGGTTACATAATCTACCATTAAGGTGCAAAGCTTTAATGAATCTCAGGTTAGACAGTCTATAAAGCCAGTCTCCTTTCAGCTACATTTTGAAGGAATTTTATTTTATAAATTAATGTGTGTTTTTCTTAGCCAAACAAAGAGCTCAGTTATTGTCTTCCTAAGAAGCCATTGCATGCTTCAGGGGAGCTGTGGACACCCTCCTGCTGACTGATGGTGACCATGGTGACTTCAGCCTCCCTGGGAACCACACCCTTTGGCAGTGTGCAAGCCCTGTCCAGCTGTCAGTGATATCCTCGCTTCTCTTTCTGGGTGAAGGTCCTTGCAGGGCATGACCTCTGCTAAGCTCATGCTCAGTGGGTCATGGCGACTGTGGCATGGTGGCTTGAGCAGTCATCATTCAGTGACACATATTCTAAGTTTGTGCCTTCAGCTCAGAATTTCCATTGCCACTGGAAATTTCCAATGATTCATGAAGATCATATTTTTTTTGAATTCTAGGAAAGGTATCATTTTTCAGCTACATCTTATTGCTGGGAATAATGAGGAGTGAACTCACAGAAAATACTTCAGAAACTTTTGGGTGACTTTGATCATTTTAGCAACCAAGTACAAAAGAAAAGAAGTATAAATCAATAACTTTCAACGTTCATATTTTACCATTTGTTCAACCTTTATCGAGTGCCTATTATTTATCAAGTCCTCTGTCATACATATTTGAATTATTTGAAGCAGTGTTCAAATCACTTACCATCTGAATTATTGAAAGAGTGCTCCTTGCTCCTCTCCTACAGCATACAGTACTTTAATATGAAATCAGTGACATGATCCAAGTCCATTTATTTGTCCTAGATAATTAGGAGTCAGTAGATATACCAAATGAATTCATGTACCATTAGGGCTGGGAACCGCTTAGCAGTGATCTTTAGTATACTATGCTTGAGTTCTCTTAAAATAATAATTTAATGATATTGCCCTTTGAGAAAAGGGAAAGCCAGAGTAGGAAGGAATTCGAGGGAGGGAGGGAGAGGAAGAGGTAGAGAGGGAGATTCTTGGAAATTCTAATTCAGACGTGAATTGAATTCCATCAGGAGATATCTGACAATATTACTGTAAGAGCTGGTGGAGAAACCCACTCTCTCAGCACAGGAGGACTCTGACCATGTGTATCTCATCTCGTTGGCCTGCAGGTTTGGAACGGTCAAAGAAGAAGTTGTCTAAATCAACAGAAATTTGGCCTCACTTTCCTTGGCTAAACCAATGAACCTTTGGTTGACAGCTGGTGACTTGTTTAGAACTCAGAAACCCCACCAAGCGTGCAATTTGCTTCAATTCCTATAGAGATATAATATGGTTAGAGGAAAGCAAGAATGGTGCCCGTGGTGCTGGGGCTCAGTATCCCAAATAAAAAATGCCATTTGAATACATAAGTGTCTTTCTCTCCAAGTGACAGTGCAAATGTACAGACACCTGAATACACACATGCACACACATACAACAAAATGGCTTTCAAGAATTTCCAACATGATCTTAATGTGTATTTTATATTGGTGCACAACTCATAACCTGTAGCACTCAGCAGAATGCATATATGTGTATGTCTCTGTGTGTGTGTATAATCATACATGTTTGTGCCTAGAAACCAAATTTTACCCAGGTCATACATATGTGTGTATATATGTATCTATACATATGCAAACATATATGCATCTATGTATGTATATTATAATGATTAGATATGAGATATAAGATCCAGGCAAGATCTTATAGATCCAGCTTTCATGTCCATAAATTATGCTTTATTAAATGAGAATTAGTCCACAGGAATCTGCCATTTTCCATCAACATGGGTGATTCTGACTAATGTGGGTCAATAACTGTATTTTGAGAATCAGAGTTTTTAAATCTCTTCCAATGTGATCAACTCTGACTATAAAGAATATTTGCTTTCCACCTTAGACTATGGTATCTGCAGGAGGAGTCCAGGACGGAGCCTGGGAATTGACTGGCAGGACTCACAGCCCAGAGCCAGCAGTGGTTGGGAAGGTTGGCCTCCACACCCCTGTGATCATGGGAGAGGGGCACATGCCTCAGGATGCACAGGTAGACCAGTAGACTTTATCTTGGTTGTACCAAAAGATCTGGTATAAAAGAAGGGACAGTAAGGTGCTGTGCAGAGAGCGGCTGGCAGCACCAGTCAAGACAGAATGCAGCTTCCTGGGCTTAGCAACTGAAGAGTGGCCAAGGGTGGCAGCAGGATGAGAGGATCCCATGATTTGGGGCTGGAGCATTGCCACCACTGAGTAGTGGGGCCCCGTCCTAAAGCCAGCACACCACTCAGACGGGTTTGCTTCTTTATAGTGTGTTGGGAAACTAGGAGCGGAGGACAGACAGGTTACTGGGGAAATAATGGAGATTACCACTCACGATTTGGTGGGACAGGGTGGATCTACCTGAGATCCCTTCAAAGGTGTGCCTAGGATAGGACTGCAGTCCCACAGAGCTCTTCTAGATGGGCCATTGGCAACATGCAGTAACCAAGCCACTTCCCCACAAGAGCACACATGCTACGTGGACATACTTAGCAAATCCTGCCCTATGTGTACTCTAGGGAAAGCGACTCGAAGCCACTCTTTCCTGTGTGAAGCATGCATGATTCCTTGTGAGATGAGAACAAATAGGATTCTTTAAATTGCCCTGGAATCTTTAGACCTACTTTCATCCTACTATTTCCATCAAATTTTCAAAATATTTAGCAGATAATGTAACTTACCATACATAGGATAAAATTTACTTAGAAATTTAAAAAATAAAATAGTACAAAGCCTTTATAAAGTCTGTATAGTTTGTAATTTCTTCTTTCAAGAAGTAAGTAGATGTAACACAAACACAAAATCACATTTAAAATTAAATATTCATAATGAGAAAAACCACAATCTTCAAAATGCTGATAAGTGCTCAAAATTCACATGTTTTTAATTCAAAAACTCTCTGACATACCCTTGCAATTTTTTTGTGTTTTTGCAAAATTTTTTGAACTCCCTGGCTGTATATTTAGACTGCCTCTTTACATGACATGCATTTATATTATACTCTTCCAAAATGTTGCATCTGATCTAAGAAGATTAATTCTAACAAGTCAGGAAGAGTGGGAGTCAAGGAAAGCTGCCATAATCCTTTCTCGTAGTGTTTTTTGTCAGATCACACTCAGTGGTTCTCTGTTCCAGACCTGGAACTTGAACACTGGCTAACTGCTCTTCCTTCATGCAGCAGCTGGCTTGGAATGTCAAGAGATGGTAAGAAAATGGCAGTGGCTGCCCTGGTGCTTCTGCTCTGCAGAGTGAAGAGTGGGCGATGGGGTCTGTTAACATTTCCATTATGCCAAAACTGGGAGAAGTGGCCTTCTGGCCAAACTCCACCATGGACAGGCTGTCCACAAGCTTTCCTGGAGTTAGGAGAGTCCACAAGCTTTCTTGGAGTTTGCTGATCTGTAAAATGGGAAAATTCAACTGTGTTAAGCAGAATTCACACTAAGCAGTTAGCTTTATAAAATTTGCTATCAAAGTCCAGGATCAAACACTGAATTGTAGCCGCGAGTAATAATGTGTATGTATCAATGCAGTTAGCTGTGTCTCTGAATCTCTGTCTTTAAATAATTTAAATATTTAAATTCAACTAACGATTGATAACATAAAATGGGTTATCAAAATCTACATATAAATCTCTTTTTTCCATAATAGCTACATGTTCAATCATAATTATATCATATAAAATTCCTAGATAACAGTAATAGAGAAAGGAAGGAGAAGTCACACATCCTCTAGGAATCTCTAGTACCCTGAAGTACATTTCCACCAAAGCATGTGTTCAGGTTCTTAAGAAAGCATCATTGTGACATCAAATGCAATCTGAGGGCAAAGGGATAAAAAATTGCCTATAACTGAGAATCACATTAGGATTCCGGAGTGTCCACATCCATCATCACTGAGCTTTTATTATATGCTCATTTATATACTTTGCTGAGAAAACTATCTAAAGCCACTTCTTCATTCTTTGAAAATATGATAGCTATTAACAGGGGAGAAATCAAGGGAACAGAAGAAATAAAAAAAAGAATGCCAAAAAAAAAAAAACTTTCCTAACCGAAAAATTTAAAAAAAAAATATTTTTATTCCTCGAGGAGGGTTAAACCACAGGAAATGAGAAAGCAGATAATAATTAAATCTAATTTTTGTTTTACTGTCATCTGGAGGCAGTTCAACTCTAAAGATGACAGCATATTTTTATGCTGATCTCAGTGAGATTTTGCTTAGAATAATTGTAGAAAGATTTGAAAAAACTAACCTTTCTATTTTGTATGCAAAATTTGATGTGCTGTTTATGTGTGTCATAATGATAAGCCCAGAATAAATTATTGTACAACATAGGGAGCAGACTAGTAAATTCAGAGCTACATAAGGACTTGCTGTGATGATGGAAATGGTTCAAAACCCTCATTATGCAGTGTAACAGCTAGCCAGGTGGCTACTGAGCAACAGAACTGTGACTAGGTCAAACCAGAAGCTGAATTTTTAAAATTTCATTTAAAGTGAGTCCTCATGAGGGCTGGAGCTTGTACTGAGCAGGAATAGTTTGGGTGCAACACTTTCATTGTGGAAATAAAGAAATTAAAACACAGAGATAACTTACTCTCAAATATAGCCACAATGGCAGAAGCAACAGCAAACAGCCATCTTACAAGGAGTTTGATGTCCTTGCTGCCTTTCAAAATAGCATTAGATGTTAGAGTTTGCTGTAAAGATAATAGGTATATTTCAGGTCAATAGTATATGCAAAAGGCATATAAAAAAACACCTGACTCAGGGATGAGTGTTTGCTGAATCATTCCTTTTAATTTTTTTTCTGTTTATTGTATTTTCTTCTATTGGCACAGGTTTTGTGATTAAGGGTTCTTGAACAGAGGTGGTACAGAAAAGCAAATTGAGGGGGTGGAGCTGATTTCTGTGTGTATCAGCAAGGGACTGACTTCCTGAGGTCACCCTTGAGGAGGGTAGGAGGGGCTGTCACTAAAACAGCTCCCACTTATTATAGCTTCATTAAAAACTTACTTTATGCATCATACTAAACCAACCACAGAAGCACCAGAAAAAGTTCTACTGAATGATTTGTTGCATCAAGTACACATAAGATTCATGATATTGACTGTTAAAATGCAGATGCTGATTGAAATTAGACTCTACCTATAGCCTAAGATTCCAAAGGCCACAGGTAGAAACTGGAAACCAACACTTGAGCCATCCCGAGGCAGTGAAGGCAGAGCTGAGCTCCAGGCAGCACATTTAGAAAGCCAGGCCAGCCTTAATCTTCAGCCTCTGTTTGGCTCAGATTTGAAACAGGCCTCAGCTGGGGGTCTTAGGTGGGGCAAGAGATGTTACTACACTGGTGACAAAATCAGGCCAGCTCATGATGACTGAGAGGTTAAATAGGAATCTGAAGCCAATGTGCTTAGCACAGGGTGAAACTTGGAAGACACTGGACATACCTGGGCCGGGCCCTTTTTAAGAGCTTTGATGCACAATTGACATAAAGCAACCATGCAGACTGAAAGGATGTAACTGGATGTGCTTGACACCATTACTTAGACATTATTTTAAGGCAGTACACTTGGACCATTTCAGAACACTTCATTAAGTCTCCCTTTTCTCATGGATCATCAGCCTAAGCTACCTGCTGCCAAAGGCCCTACAACTCTTGTTCACATACATGGTCCTGATTTTCACTCTTTTCAGGCAGCTGGTTAAACCCAGTCTCTCTTTCTGGATCTTGGTCTGCAGTGAGCCTATTTTATAGTAATCTCTGGCCCTTCCCAATGTTTATCTGGAAGCAAAGCTGAACATGAGACACTGAGGAAGAACCAGAGAGCACCTCAAATGATTCCGGGTACTCTAAGAGTTGTCTCCCTCTCCTACCTTCTTGCCAGAAAATTTAGCCTTTCACTTTCTTATGAAGACTGCCTAACATGTGTAGAGTCCGCACAAGCAAACTCATCTGCCTCACATCCTTGTCTTTTTCTACGAACCACTTCTCTCCCCAAATTCTTTCTGATGTATCAATAATATCATCTGCATCTCCTCTTTATAAGAGCAGGTTGTCATGCTTTGCTGGAGAAAGTCACACAAATAATGTATTCATTTGAAATAAGATGTGACTACTCAGAAGGCTGAGCAAAGGATTGTAGTTCTAGAATGGTCTGTGTAATTCAGTGAAACCTTCCTCAAAATGAAACAAAATTTACTGGAACTGTAGCTCAGTGGTACAGCATTTGCAGGTGTGCATGAGAATTTAATCTCAAAAACTGCCAGGAAAAAAAAATACACAAACTCTCTCACACACACATGCATACATATATAATAGGGTATGACAGAGGCAGGTTTTTTAAGGTTTAATCCACAATCTAACATGTGGATCTAGGACAATTATGGGGAATTTAGAACTAATGACAGATTTTATTTCAATGACTAATGTTTCTCAAACCCATACACCTATTTCAAATACATTTTATAAATTTTGTGTTATATAAGTGTGCCAGAAAAACACTGATTGAACTGTGACTACGAGACCTACTTGATATAGGCAGAAACGTGGGGCCAGGGATTGGAGAAGGAAGAAAAAAAATGCCTTAAGTGGTATTATGTTATGGGAATTTTAATTCAAGTTTTTATAAAAGATAAGAAATCCAAGGATGTAATATATACCCAGAATATTTAAGAGTCTTAAATAGCTGATTCTCTATCTTTCTGGATCATTGCAATAATTCTGTGAGACAGCTATCCCATGATTCCCATTCTACAGGTGAGAAAACAAACAGAGCAAAGTAAAAACATATCCAAGTCCACAAAATTAGCAGTGAAGCCTGGTTTCATTATTTGCTTTTGTCATACACTGTGCTACATGAACCTAAGTTACCCATGACTTGGAGAGAGACAAACTTCATTCTTCACTTTACTATGTTTACACAAACAACATTGACAGATTTGTGAAACTATGTTTTTTCCTTTTTTTTCTAGTGTCTATTTTATTCTGCTGTCCTTCCTATCCCCCTTACCCTCCCTCTCCTCCCATCACTTCTCTCTACCCAATCTAATGTGCTATACGTCTTTTTTCCTCCTCACATCATCATACATGTAATCTGTATAATGATGAGGGTCTCCTTCCATCTTCCGTTATGTTTTTTCATTGATAGTTCTCCCTTTGCTATCTATTTCTCTTTTTCTTAGCACCTAAGTCATTTTGCCTGTTTGTTACTTAGGGAAAGATCATTTCAGGGAGAAAATTAGAACAAAAAACTAACCTTATGGCTTGTGCTGTGTGGAATACTGGTACAGACAGAGAGCTAAAGACCCTCAGGAGAGTACTACCTCCTACTTTCCTAAAGCTAACTACAGAGCCCCACATGGTACAGAATTGTTGAAGAGGACCATCAGAACAGAGGCCAGCAGGTAGAAATGGGACATTCCTAAGGTGACCTCTATAAACATCATCAGACAAGGACAAGTGCATGCAAAGTCACCTGTGTGGAAATGGGTACAACCTTAACCCATTGATACTTCATGAAGTAGCAATGACTTTATGAGAAAGAGGCAGAAAAAACAATTTGGCAGTCATTAAGTTGATAATTCTGAACTTAGTAATTTGAGCTGTAGAAAAATGATGAACACTCAAGGAATGGTGTACTGAGATATGACTCTGCTATCACATCACAAAGAAAATATGGTAAGGAATTCTGATGCTATCCTTGTGAGAGTAATATGAAATAAGAATTTTAAAAATAGGATTATTGCGACAAGATCAAGAAGAGGTGGAATAAACATGTTATGGTTCAGATATGAGGTGTCCCCCAAAAGCTCATGTGTGAGAAAATGCAAGAATGTTCCAAGGTGAAAGGACTAGGTTATGAAAGATGTAACCTGGTTAGTGTATTAATTCACTGATGTGGATTAACTTGAAGGTAACTATAGGTAGGTAAAGCATGACCAAAGGACATAGGTCACTGGGGGTGTGTCTTCGATGAGCAGGACTCTCTCTGTTTCCTGGTTGCCATATCCTAATGTGCTTTCCTTCACTGTGCTTCTCAGCCACGATGTTCTGCATCATCTTGGGCCCAGAGCAATAGAGGCAACTGACCATGGACTGAATGTCTGAAACCTTGAGACAAATTAATTTGTCTCTAAATTGTACGTGCAGGTATTTTGGTCCCAGTGACCAAAACCAAAACAAGAATAAAACCCTGACTGAAGCAGAAATTGGTACTGAGAGGGGTTGCTGTTGTGGTTAACCTAACCATGTGGTTAAGAAGCCCTTAGAACTGCTTTGCCCAAGAACAAATTTTAAAAAGTTTAGAGATGCAAGCTGGAAAAGTTTTAGAATTTTGGAAAAGGAGTTAATGGGTGATTTTGGTTGGAGCTCAGAATACCAAAATGCCAAATGTAGACAGTAAAGATTAACTAAGCTCCTGATGTTTCAGAGGATAAGGACTCTGTTGGAAATTGGACTCAAAACCATTTGTGTTGTATTCTGGCATAGAAGTTGCCTACATTTTGCCCATGTCCTGAGACTCTGTGAAGCTGAGTTTAAAAGTGATGGACTGATTACTCTGGCAGAGAAAATTTCAATACAACACAGAATTCAGGAGATGCAATGAATATTACTGGTGGTTTCAGCCAAGTTCACTATGATAATCATGACCAGAAAGCAGAGCAGAAGGATTTGAAAAATCTTGATGTTTGGCCAGAAATATGAGGGTAAAATTGGGTCTAAGAAAATAATGATTGTTAAAGAGATTATAGTCATGAAAGTGATGCCAAGTAATTTACCCAGGAATAGGAAAGATAGATTGAGAGCATCTCAGGAATTGACAAGACCATCTCAGTAGCAAGGATATGAAAGTTAAAATTCCTTTCAGAAGAGACTCAGGACACCTTGCTGGCATGGTATTCAGTGAGGTCAGCTCGGAAGTTGTTTCAATGTATTTAGGAACTCAGGGGCTCATTGGCTACTGCATCCAAGGTCTCAGGAGACTTGCCTTCTGCTCAAGTTGGTAACAGACCTTCTTGACAACCACATGAGTGCTGGTTCTTAGGGAAGGCAGAATGCTGGAATTTGGGAATCCTGGAGGTTTCCACTGAGATTTCAAAGGAAGATATGGGAGACCAGGCAAAGTGTCAGAGGGTTGGTGTCCCTGCAGCTTCCCCTAAGAGGACGATGATGCATGAAGATGTGAGAAGGAATCTGAAGCTGCAGGGAAGAGCCCCAAGATTAAGAGATGCCAGTTAACATTGAATATATGCCAAGGGAAGCTGCAGGAATCCAGCAGAGACAAATCAAGAGAAAGGCTTCGTGGTCTGCAACCAACAAGTTCCTAGGGCGGAGCTACACAGGACCTTTACAAAGCACATCACAATGCCTTGTGGCCCAGACGCTGCATGTGGAGGTACAGAATGTTTTTGTCTGGCCGGATTTCAGTCCTGCTTTTGTCCCATCCCATCTTTCTATGCCCCTATTTCTCCCTTTTAGAAGGAAAGGGTTTACTCTGTGCCATTACATAATGGATATATGTGACTTGCTTTTGATCTTTATAGGGAAAAACATCTGTGAGTTTGCCTTGAGTTTCGGGTGAAATTTTGGAATTGGACTTTTGGGTAATGCTGGAACTGTTCAGACTATGGGGCTCTTGGAAATGGAGTCAATATATTCTGCATTGAGGGATGGGCATGAGCTTTTGGGAGCCAGAAG